ATTAGGCAGAAAGAGGCTAAGCAAGTTATAAGAGCTTCCAAATCACACACAGAAGAGGAAATAGCACAGTCAGTAAAAAAGGGGGACAAAACTTTTTTTAGATACATAAATGAGAAAAGTAAAATAAGGATTAGTTAGATTAAAAACAAAAGAAGGAAGGTATGTAGAAGAGGATAAAGGTCTAGCTGACTGCCTCAATGAATATTTTTATTCTGTATTTACAGATGAAAATGAAGGAAAAGGATCTCAGTTAAGAAAAAGGATAAATGAGTCATTTATTACACGTGAGTTTACAGAGGAAGAGATTCTATTTCAACTGTCAAAAGTAAAGACAAATAAGTCAATGGGACCTGATGGAATACACCCAAAGCTATTAACAGAGCATAGTGGAGTACTAGCAAAACCATTAACAGATTTATTTAACCAATCATTGTTAAAAGGAGTAGTCCCAGAAGATTGGAAGTTAGCGAATGTTGTGCCCATTCACAATAAAGGTAATAGGGAGGAGTTTGGCAACTATAGGCCAGTAAGCCTTACTTCAGTAGTGGGCAAAGTGATGGAAACCATGTTAAAGGATAGGATTGTTGAACATCTAAAAACACATGGTTTTCAAGATCAGAGACAACATGGGCTTACTTCAGGGAGATCATGCCAAACTAATCTTTTTGATTTTTTTGATTGAGTAACTAAAATTATAGATCAGGATGGTGCAGTAGACCTTGCTTACCTAGATTTCAGTAAGGTTTTTGACACTGTTTCACATAGAAGGCTCATCAATAAACTGCAATTTTTAAGTTTGGATTCCAATATTGTTAAATGGGTAAGGCAGTGGCTGAGTGACAGGCAACAGAGGGTTGTAGTCAATGGAATATATTCGAAGCTTGGACTTGTCACCAGTGGGGTACCTCAGGGATCTGTACTTGGACCCATTCTCTTTAATAGTTTTATCAGTGATATTACAGAAGGTCTTGATAGTAAGGTATGTCTTTTTGCTGCTGATACTAAGATATGTAACAGGGTTGATGTTCCAGGTGGGATAAGCCAAATGGCAAATGATTTAGGTAAACTAGAAAAATGGTCAGAATTGTGGCAACTGACATTTAATGTGGATAAGTGCAAGATAATGCATCTTGGACATAAAAACCCAAGGGCAGAGTACAGAATATTTGATAGAGTCCTAACCTCATCATCTGAGGAAAGGGATTTAGAGGTGATTATTTCTGATGCCTTAAAGGTAGGCAGACAATGTAATAGAGCAGCAGGAAATGCTAGGAGAATGCTTGGTTGTATAGGGAGAGGTATGAGCAGTAGAAAGAGGGAAGTGCTCATGCCATTGTACAGAACCTCACTTGGAGTATTGTACACTATACTGGAGACCGTATCTTCAGAAGAATATTGATACCTTAGAGAGAGTTCAGAGAAGGGCTACTAAGTTGGTTCATGGATTGCGGGATAAAACTTACCAGGAAAGGTTAAAGGATCTTAACATGTATAGCTTGGAGGAAAGACGAGACAGGGGGGATATGATAGAAACATTTAAATACATAAAGGGAATCAACACAGTAAAGGAGGAGACTATATTTAAAAGAAGAAAAACTACCACAACAAGAGGTCAGTCTTAAATTAGAGGGACAAAGGTTTAAAAATAATATCAGGAAGTATTACTTTACTGAGAGGGTAGTGGATGCATGGAATAGCCTTCCAGCTGGAGTGGTAGAGGTTAACACAGTAAAGAAGTTTAAGCATGTGTGGGATAGGCATAAGGCTATCTTAACTATAAGTTAAGGCCAGGGACTAATGAAAATATTTAGAAAATTGGGCAGACTAGATAGGCCGAATGGTTCTTATCTGCCGTCACATTCTATGTTTCTAACTATACTATTGTGACTTAAACAGTGAAAAGTAATACAGCAGACTAATGGATATTACTTATAAATATGCAAAAATTCGTTCAAGGCAAGCTCACTGTGGTCACTGCAAAGGAGATACATTAGCACACTGCAGTAGATCGAGACACCAAACACTACACAGTAGGCCTCTGCAACAGTATTTCATTGTTACAACTACTTAGACACAATATTAAACAGAGAAATTGCTACCAATGCACAAATACAATTCGAATCTCTGGAGATTGTCCTAGTTGTGAATTGCTCAATAGAGCTGAATACAGTCTAAGCATTACTTTGTTGGATATAACCAACCACCTAGTGTATATGTGTGTATGTATGTATATATATATATATATATATATATATATATATATATATATATATATATATATATATATA